CACGCATTTTTTGTAATGTTAAATATTTCTTATAAATCTGTATATAAAATATTAAAAAAAAAAACATCATAATAAAATGTAATAATAGAGCTCTAATATAATAATAGAGCTCACTGTGCGTGCCTTTGGCCTTAAAATAAAAGGAAACAATATTTAAATATTAAATCTTATAAGACCGTGAGAAACACAACCAATAAAATGCCTTTAACGATCGAACTGTATCTTAGGTACTAATTATAATTCCGTGAGAATTTATATAAAACTAGCATCAAAACTCTCCTCTCCTTCTATGTTGATTAGCGAAATTAGAAATTGCACACCTGTAGCTTTAGCAATTCTTTTCAGATCAGCTTTTTTGCAACGAGAAGTCTAGACATGCGATTTTCGCGTTCGTTATCCTCTTCGGCATTGCTTGAGAGGCGACAGTACAGTTCAAAGCATAGCCTCGAACACTTTTTCCGTGAACTTTCAAGACATTGACTCCTTTATAACAGGATACAAAAATCCTCCGTTGCTATCGTTGATTTTTATCTATCCAATGTCATTACCTTGACAGCTAATCGATATAAAATAAAATATGCTAGCAAGCGCCGTCTGCCGTTTAAAACGTGAAACGGACAACATTTTTCGGACAAAACGCCGTCTGTGTTTAAAACGTGAAACGGACAACATTTCCGATGTTAAAATTTTTGACATTTCAACTTCACATCGAGATATCTTCCTTCGTAGGGTACGTAGACAATAAAAACATATTTATAATATAATTTAAACACTAAAACTAAATTACGGATATATAAAAGTTGATAAATTCAGCCATTTATTGTGAGATCCGATAATCTCGGGTACACGGAACTCATCGACTCGCGTAAAGATACACGTGCGGTCTCGCGCTTCGCGTTCACTTGGCGCGAGACACTACCGTGTCTCTTGATACGTATAATATACACGTATAATATAGTGATAGAATTAGTATCATCATTCACTATATAGTGATATAATTTGTGGGACATGAAAATATATTCACAACTAAGTATTATAATATGTTCAGTAAGCAATTATTAACATCTTTTCTTTGTTGAATTGTTTTCGCATATATTGTGTATACTGCAGAATATTGCGATAGAACCAAGGTTCTAGAATATTGCGTTTTAATGCGACCCGGGCACGCCAAGTTTTTTCTTCACTATAATCCAGTTGACAATTATAGTCACTTTCGGTCTGTCTTATGTGACTGGCGTAATGAAGAATACACTTGGTCAATTATATTTATCTCATATCTGTTTTTGATCAAGAAGTTCAGTATCTTTTATATGCACTTGGCGTATGTTTCTTCTTTTTTTAAAAAAAGGTTTTTTCATGGGATTTCACTGTTTTTTGTTAATTATGAAAACGTGATAATAATGTAGGAAATTTAAATCCTCTAAAAATAAATACAGATTCTGTTTCTAAAATAGTTATTTTGTAAATTTCTATTTATTTAATATTAAAGATGTACTCGTATTG